CACAGGACTGCGAACGAGGTATGATGTGTGATATTAAAAAAAACAAACGAAAGCAGCTGCATAATTTAGGCACCAAATGCTAAAGTAGTAAGGTACATACATAGAAGTCTACTTAATGAACAACAAATTCTTACGCCAAACAGATCAGCTGTGCAGTCGTTCAGCAAACAAAGCTGATTTAAAATTTAAGTAAACAGTTTATGCTAAACGTCGCTAAATAACGTAACATCAGAGTATCGAAATAGGGAATTTTATTGCTTACGATGCACTACTTCATATGACATATATGTAGCATAAAATTTTGAGCTGGAGCTGTCAAATATAACCGAAGTATAAACGATATGTCGCCATTGTATAACCAATATGTAACCATTATATAGCTAATATATAACTATTAAATAACCAATATATAACCATTTTATAACCAAAACTCAAATTTTGTTTCAATATGAGTGATTTCTAGTATATCGCTTTTCCCTGGGCTCTAAACTTATGATAAGTGCTGTTACGTTATTTTTTGCATTTCAGCTGACCTTATATAACTGGCTTGCAAAWCAAGCACATTTGTTAGCTCACAATTGATTATATGTCATTAATATTAAACTTTATATGCCGGAAGTAGTCAACAAGTAATTTTGAGTCAGCCTGTCGGACACTCATTATTAAAGACAAGAAAGAAAGCAAAGTTACTTAGTCGGCATACTTAATCTCATTCACATACATGTATTTTCGTTTTGCAACAGCTTGAACTCGCGTTGAGCCGAAGTATCGCAGAAATTTTTACATGATGGTCCCAAACTTCAGAACAAACGCTGTGGATTTTTGTTTGCCCAACTCGTGTGCAAATGCTGTAAGTTAAAAAGGGCATTCGAGATTTTATGTTGCCAAATTTAAATGTTATCTCAGCTTTCTTCAACTCTTCTGAAATTATTTAACATAAAAGAAGGTATCTAAACTCTAWGCTGAATATAGTCTGCGGAGTTGAAGAAAGCACAAAAAATAGTGCGTAATTCAAACGTCCAAATCAGAGCTGCTCAACGATTTTTTGTCATAATTGCATTACAATACGATTTATGTATGTACATATACATATGTATAAATCCAAGCACATTGAAAAAGCTGCACGCTGTCAGCAATYGATTTGTGTAATAGTTAAATTCGTGGGCGGCGCATTAGCTTTGAAATTATTTTGATTTTGAATTTGAAAAAAAAAAAAAGACTATTATGTGCAAAGAGAATATATCGCATGCTGTCTGGCCATTTGCTTGCACGCAAAAATTAAATTTTTTTTATATATGTACATATGTATATAGTATATGTTTATGATTAGTACACCGCACTTTGCAACAGTAATTCTTATAGCGTTTCTCTTTAGCTTATCAACTTGAACTTTCGGTTGCTGCATTTTTACAAATATATATTTATATATACATTTACACACATAATTTATGTATACACATACATACAAATGTAATCTGCATATATTCAACGGTACAATATAATTGTTTTTGCTTTGTTCTGCGCTWTATACTTCTTGCTGCTGCGTTTATTTTTTCGCTTTGCTGCTACTTTTGCGTGTTACATATTTTATAAATTAACGCTTTTAGATACGTGTACATATATTTCACGCCAACTTTACATTATACAAACTACAACAAATACCTTTAGTACCTTTTGCTTATAACACATCATACTTTTTTTTTTGTTGTTTTGAACTATATTCTTTGCGTTTGCTTCTCTGTATATAACTTTTATTTGTGTTTTTTTTTTTTATTTGGGGTAATTTAACATTAGCGTGCCAGTTTTGAGTGTCACTTACATCACTAATTTATAGAAGTTTTTGCATTACTCATATACATCTGTGTATGTTTATATAGTTAGATACGCATATCTGCTTCATATATGTATGTATACATATATATATATAATAATAGTAAGTATGCTGCGTTGAATTTATATGTATATATATTTGTCGTTTATTTTGTATAACTCTTTGTTGGTTTTGTCGTTTTTGCTAATTTACGCATTTCAGTGAACGCTCTTTGTGATTGGTAATGGTATTTGCAGTTACATAATACAATAGAATAATTATATTTATAAGAAATAGTACAATACAATAATGTATTTTATGGTATGCTCTTTGTTTATTTACTAATTTTAACGCTGCTTCATTACATTTTGTTTTCTTCTTGATGTTTGCTTGCATTTAATTGTATATAATATAATGTAATATAATCATAATAGTATTCAATTGTATTTAATTTATAATTTCAAACGTGTTTTTTTTTTTGTTATTATTATTATAATTTTTTATTTTTTTTTTTTATGAATGACATGCACAACTTGCTTTACACGCACCCGGTCCCCTGGTCCCCTTTCAAATGGAAGGCATCAACATTTTCTACCACAGCTAAGCTATCTACGCACCCCCACTTAACAGCCACACCCCCCTTCCGCTTGTCAGCGCTTTGCTAGCCATTTTAGCAATATTTGTTTTTTTTTTTTCTTTTGCATACCCCCCTGCCATCGTTTTAAATGTGGTTTGATTATACGAAATTTTGTTAGTGTTGTTGGATGGCGCCACACACGTCTATGCAGCAGTTCTGCTGCGCTTATTCGTAGTTGTGTTGTTGTTAGTGTTGCTCATGTCCGGCTGATCGGTTTAGCCAACTTATAATACGCCGAATGGATCCGGTGGCGCTCCCTTATTACTGCCATTGTGTTGTTGTGGTTGGTGGTGGATCGATTGCGGTTGCATTGTTATCGCACTACTGTGCAGCGCTTGCGGCGCCGCTGTCATCATTGGCGCCATCGTCGGCTGTACGCCAGTCAAAGGGGCTTGRCCCATCATAGGTTGTCCCATCACCGGCATTCCCTGCTAAACAATCACACACACATATGGCCAGCGCACACAGTTAGTTGGCAACGCGCGCAGATACACAGCAAAAGTTGTGTGCGTTCAATGTTGTTGTCGAGTGGTGAAGAAAATAAAATTGAAACATTTTATTAGCAAAAATATTAAAATATTTCCATGCAGTAATTATTGAAGGTTTTACTAAAAGGAGAATCGAAAGGAAACATGCATTTTGTAGAGAATAATCCATTTCGTTTTCTCGTACACAAAAAGGGCAACACTGTCAGAGCTACGTTCAAATAGTTCGCCTTCAGAAGAGGCAAGAAAGTCACAGATCATCAAACTAAACTCAAAAATGGTCTCAAATCAGAACGAATTTGTGAAAATAAGCGGTAAAGAAAGTGGGTAAGAGGTTAAAAGAGAAAGAGAAAGAGACGTAGTTTTGCGACTAATTAAATAGAAAGAAATATCAATGAAAATGTTAAATACTGCAAATAACTGCATCTATGCAAAATTATTGATTACTGATTATTTAGGTGATTACAGGGTRGTTGGTTAGTAGTAGTAGTAGTAATTCCGATACTTTTTACGTAACTAATGTTCGCTAATCGAAATGAATTCTTTCAAAGTAAAATGAGAACACAGTTTCAAAAAATGGCGTTGATCAATTAAATGTAGCGGAAAAAAAGAAAACGACAAATAAGAAAATTAAAAAATTAAAAAAGAAAAATAATTCCTAGAAGCACAAATTTAAAGATGTAAGGATATACGCAGAAAACCTAAATTACAGTTATTTATTTAATTACCGTAATATTTCAGAAAAAGAAATATGAGATTTTGCTACCCAAAACTTGAATCTACGAGTACCATAGGCATATTTTTTATAGAAAAAAATCTTTAACGCTCTCTAATTAACGGTAAGCAAAATGGTAAACAAGTTCGGTACAACGCAGTTAATTAACCGGTTACATAGGGATAGGGATAGCMAGCGAGGCCATATTCTTTGCCGCTCTTTTGACATTTCTCCTCAGTAAGGTTTGCCATTTCATCATGGAAGGATATACGATCCAACAACGAGACGAAATTATTGAAGTTTGCTACCGAATTTCGGAGACATTGGCCTCAACTTTAAGAGCTCTACGTCCAATGTATGGTCGTCATAATCGTGCTGTCAGAGCAACAATTGAGCGTCTAGTACAAAAATTTTAGTCCACAGGCACATTAAAAAATGTTCCCGTGCCACTGAGACAAAGAAGTGCCCGTAGTGTCGAGAATATTGCTGCCGCAAACCCAAATCAGTCTCTCASACGTCGTTCTCAATGTTGGACATCTCTGTGACGGCGTTGTGGTGAATTTTGTAAAAAGATTTTGGTTTACATCCTTACAAGATGAAGTTGATGCAAGAACTGAAGCCGTTTGACCACCAGAATCGTTGTATGTTCGTGAATTGAACCACAACTTGAAAATGATCCGAATTTTCAKCGAAATCACATCTTCAGTGATTCACACGTACCCCATAAGTCACCACTGCATACCGAAAAAATTTGGTTTGGTGCGGTTTATGGGTTGGCGGCGTCATTGGGCCGTACTTCTTCCATGATGATCAAGACCGGCATGTTACTGTGAATGAGAATCGCTAACGCTCAATAATAACCGAATATTTTTGGCCCGAATTGGACAACACCTGGTTCCAATATCTATTGAAAACCAAGTTTGGTGAACGTGTTATCTCACGAAATGACTCAGTCAATTGGCCGCCTTGGGCATGAGATTTGACGCCGTTATACTATTTGCTTTAGGGTACGTCAAGTTTATGGTCTATGCCAACAAGCCAGCGTTAATTGATGAACTTCATACGAATATCGAACTTAAAACTGCAGTAGTATCGGCCGATTTATGCTTGAAATCCGTCCAAAATTGGGTTCAGCGTCTGGAATTCTGCAAGTGTGCCCGTGGTCACCAAAGGAAATCGAGTTTCATACTTAATGGCATCGAATATGCTTTCACAGGAATAAAGAATTTCATTGATATTCCAAACTTTTGTAGCGCTCTTATTGAMACACCCTTTATCTTTGACAGGCAAATGCGTTAGCTTTTAAGGTCACGAACGCAATGAAGCTTTGTCTACAATTACTACGACAGTTTGACAGTTCGTTTCGTTTATGAAGTAAAGTTTCGAAAACTTATCTTTATCATACTTGAACAAACCACTTAGCAGGTTCCATAAACTGAGTCAAAGTAACAGAAAGGCGATTACATCGACATTTACATTACTAATTTYATTTAGGAATATTCACTTCAACTGCATATTTGAGCTGTTTCTTAAAATGCGAGTAGGAATAACGACAAAATTAAGCATTGCTATTCAAAAACTATACGGTTTGTTAGSGGGTCATGAAAATATAGATAGTGTTAAGGTTATATAGTTAAGTAGACATGCTTTCAAACGCACTATTCGRCTTTATAAAATGCCGTTAGGGACCAACAAACTGACTACCAAGCTTAAGGTTACATAAATTGCAATCGGAGGAGTAGGAGGTTTAGTCGAATCGTTAAGTAGTGGAAATTAACGCAAATGGGCAATAAACAGAACGATTAAAACGATTAAAATGAAAACAAAATAAAAAAATGTCAATAATGCAATTAAATTAAGAGCAATATAAAATAAATGAAAAACATAAAAGACAGCTTACCTGCATATAATTTGGTATAACAGGATAACTAGCGTGTATATACTGATGGTTTTGGATTGTGATAGGCGCAGGACTTACTGTCATGCCATGTGCCTAAGTTAACACGGTAGTAGTAGTAGTAGTAGTAGTAGTGGTGGTAGTGGTGGTGGTGGTTGTGGTAGTAAAGGTGGTACGAGTGAACAAGGTACATACACACAAAGAGATTCATTCGTGTCGAGTATTCGTGAAAATCGCACGAGAAATATCGGCAATGAATGGCAAATGGAAATCAATTGTTTTTTAATTGATTCAATTAAAGCAGTTAATTTTTTWTTTTTTTATTTATTGAAAACGAATGCAATGAACAGAGAAAAATTAAGAGAATATAATATGAAATGTTTAATCAGTTGAAATATGTTTTTATTTATTATTATTTTTTATATTTTTTTCGATTTGCAATAATAAGAAAGAGTATATATAATTATTTAATGTGAATTTCGTATAATTTGTTATTGCATATATGTGTGGGTGGGTATGTATGTTTGTTGGCAAGAGCGGGAGTTTCGCGTGAACGAGAGTATTATTCGTGTGCATGTAGTTAAACGAATGAACGCAGCGTATGAGTGGGGGTAGTATAGGGTGGTGGTATTCATATGTAAAGAGAAGATAAAAGAGAAAAAATCATAAATTAACAAAATTATAAATTACAAATTTAAATTAGTCAAATTAAAAAAGGATATAATATACAAATGTATGAACATATAGATGATAAGGAAAAAATTKATAAAAAAAAATTCTCAAAGCAATTAGCGAAAATTGGTTCTCTTAGCAAATTTTGTGTCCGGCTGTARTGTTTGCGTATTTCATTATGTTCTGCGTGATAGTAGTTGGAAGTCTATATAAGTTTGTATACTTGTTGTTTTTGTTTATTATATGTAGTTCTTGTAGATACAGTATATTCATGTGGCTTACGAAATTTGTCAAAGTGTAGAAATTATTACATGTAAACGCAATAAAATGAATACATTTTAAATGTTTATGTATGTATGTACCTATTTAAGAGCAATGAGTATAGAGAAGTGACGAAAGATACAAAATAATAGCCTGTTTTTTTTTTTAACTAAACAGAATAACGTTTAATTTTCTGTATAATTTCTAACTGCTTACAGAGGGTGTCAAAAAATCGTAAAGGTAAAAATATCCTAAATTTTACATTTACTGTAATTTTGCAATTAATTCCTTACCACACATTACGACAAAAAAGCACACGTAAATTGTAATTAAATTCACCGGGTAAATGACTTTCAAAAAAATGTGATGTGAACTGTCCTTATTTACTATGTCAAATATGAGCGCAATCTGTCAACCAGTTTGTTTACAGCAGCTGCTTAAGTCGATACACCACAGCAGTGTGTTGCGATTTTTACAATGAATAAAAATATCGAACAAAGAATTTGTTTCAAATTTTGTATTTTTAACCAAATTTCGTGTGCGGAATCGTTTCAACGTTCACAAACCTACGAGTGGTACAAAGCTTTCTGGATGACCTTCGACCTCTTCAACTGGTGAAAAATTAAAAAATAATTAGCAAGAGAGCTTGACATCACTCGCGAGTCGGTGCGAATTATTTTGATGGATATTTTGTGTATGAAACGCGTTCTTGCTCGACTCATTCCGATAAAAATGATTTATTAGTATACAGGTCACTTTGGCCATCTTGATCGTTCGAAATCTGATCCTACATTCATGGAGAGCATTATAACTACCGACAAGACATGGGTTTATGAGTTTGACATGCAAACAAGTAAACAATCAGTGGAATGGAGGTTAAAAACGAGCAAAAAAAAAAAAGCCTAAGCAGCTAAAGAATCAAGGTGACGCTCATTGTTTTTTCCGAGTTCGTGGTTTGGTGAATCATGAATGGTGAGAAAGACGGTCAATAAGGAGTGATTTTTGGCAGTTCAGAGGCGTTTACGTGAGAACATCCGTCGAAAACGGCTRCAATTGTGGAAAAACAATTTATGGATTTTATACGGTGATAATGCACCATCGCATCGAACCACGATTATGACCGAATTTAAAGCCAAAAACGCAATGAATACCATCGATCAACCATCGTATTCACCACATTTGGCTTCCGGTAATTTTTTCTAGTTCACTAAACTGAAATTGGAACCCGTTTTCAATCGACCGAAGAGATAAAATAAAATTCGTTGAAGGTCATCCCAGAAAGTGCTTATGAAAAGTGTTTCGAGGACTGGAAAAATCGTTAGCATAAGCTTATTACAGCTGGCGGAGATTACTTTGAAGGCGACAAAATAAATACTGGTGAATAATGAAATATTTCACGATTTATTTACAATTTCCGTGTACTTTTTTGTCACAAAAAAAAAAAAATATAAATATGTTAGTAATTCGTTCCACATGAAATTATTAACATTGAAATCTTCAGACTGCGGAGAAACAGAATCTGCAGCTTTTGATCGTCTAAAAATATGTATTTATTATTATATACYTATTTCATTTTCTATAAGCTAATTTCACACATATGTAGCTGTGAATGAAATCTCTTTTAATATGTATTTGGACAGAGGCTTATTAGAGGTACTTCTTATCTGTTTATTACTACTGATCTTGAACATCTATAAAAAAGTAATCTCAAGAATTTGCTCAAACATACTTTCATTATTGCTTTTGAAAATGAATAAGATCTGTTCTTAACCTCATAAGGGAGTAAAATATGGTATAGTTCATTTGAAAAAATATATTGTCACTTAAAATGCAAAATAACCTAACATCACGTTTCRTAAGTTTACAGACAAAGGAAAACGATATAAGAAAACCACTCATATTGAAATAAAATTTGGGTTATTGGCATATCTGTGAGCGGCAGYTTTAAATTTTACGATATTACATACATAGCGACGAAGAACGTAATTTTTTTGTTTTTTTTTTATGATCGTGGTTTCGCATTTCAGGTGACGATATAGATTGCTAAAATGCAACCAGTGTTTGGCGACAACGAGTTCAGCGAAAACGAGAGTTTAGAGCAGATGACACGAAAAATACATTAATTTGAAAAACATTTAAAATAATTGAAAATACATTTAAAACAAGTTTGAAAAAAAATAAATAAAAATTTTGAGGGAAGTGTGACAAAGGTAAATACAAAACAGCATTTTGAAAACATTTCGTGAAAAATAGTTTAAAGAATTATGAAAAATACAGCAAACGTGTAAAAGAATACTAATAAAAATTATATCTTCTAATTGTAACTGTTTTTATGCAAACATATGTTTATCAATAATATTTTTCAGTTTACTTGTTGCTTGGCATTACAACATGTTTTATATATTTGGCACAAATTTGTTCGTTTCAGCAATTTGTCGCTTTTGGATTGATTTATACATATATATTTTTCTTTTGTTGGACAATAGGTGTTTTCATAGGTAGTTTTGTAAGTAGTACATATACAAATTGGTATCGTATATTCAAGTACGAATTGTATAATTAGTAGTAGTAGTAGTAGTAGTAGTGCCTGTAGCAGTAGAGTAGGAGTAGTACTGTTTTATTTGAGTTAAACGTGAAATAAAAGATCTTTTTTTTTTTTTTGCTTTTTAGTAGTTTAGTAGAAGCGATTGAGACTCACCATTGGACGATAGCCAGCACCAGTTGTAGCAGCCATTGGTTGAGGTGTCCAATTAGCACCGGGTTTCGCTGTATTTTTCGGTGAGTTCCATTGCACAGGTCTATACAGTAGTAAGTAAATATGGTATATGGCATTTTGATATTATGAATTAACTTATTATGTGAGTGTTTATGTGTGTTTTTGTGTTAAAATGTGTGACAATTACTGTTTATATATGAAATTTTAAGTTTGACTTAAAAAAAAATTACCATATATTAAAGAATATATTTTCCTGCCAGAAACGTTGTATATATTTCTAGAAAAATGTAAGGGATGTCTTTGGTATTTGTATATAAAAAAACCTTGAGTATTTTTTAATACATAAGTCTAACTGCCTTAGAAGAGAGAGAGAGAGAGAGAGAGATGTTCTGATGCAATTATACGTTATTATAACCGTTAAGGTACCGTACAAAAATTTCATGAAGAACTCGGTCAGTCAAGCGCTCATAGAACTGACTTAAGGCTTGTATATACAAGTTCGGGCTGAACTAAACATTTTATATCAAGCCCTGGAAATTTCTTCAAGTGTTGGCAAATGTTCATATAAATCATCCGATGGGTTTTTGGGACCGTTGTTCTGAACGACCTTTTGTGGGCATGACAGTGGCCCGATTATGTCCATTTACGAACTCGTCTTCTTTTTTTGGTTAAGGAATACGTGTACCAAATAATACGTATAGACGGACGGACAGACAGACATACGGATAGCGACTCCTCTCGTCTTCCTAATCACTTATAAGGGGTTTTTCAATAGGGATGCTTCAAAAGTATACCGATAGGGAGAGCGAACGGCGCCATATTTTTTACCGCTCTTTTGACATTGTTCTTTAGTATGGTTTGCCATTTCATCACCAAGAACGAGTCGAAATGATTTAAATTTACTACCGAAATTCGGAGTCACGGGCCTCAACTTTAAGAACATAATTCTATACATAATTCTATATCTATTTCATTTATTTTTAGGTGACTCAAACAACCGTTAGGTTAACAAAATTATTATGATCTGTAGCAAGAGTATAAAAATTTTACGTTTGATTCAGAACGGCTACTCATCACAAGCAACCAGAATAACCGTTAACTTTGGTTATACCGAAGCTATAATGCCTTTCTCAAATTCAAAAGATTCCATGCTAGAACTTGATTTTAATGGTTAGTTGTAAAGCAGCTATACGCTATAGACGTCCCATCTGGACAATTTGTTTTGGAGGTTGTAGCGATGCCTTGATCTATACCCAGTTTCGTGAAGAACTTTGTCGAAAAAATTGATTCTTCATACAAGATTCTGAATTCGATTGGTCAGTTTGTATGGCAGCTACGTGTTATAGTGGTCCGATCTGAATGGGGTTTGTATCGTTACCTTAGACAATAATACATACATACCAAATTTCGTGAAGAAAGCTCGTCAAACACAAAAATTGTGTAGTATTATAGCCACATATTATAATGATCTGAACTGGACAAGTTGTTCGGAGATTGTAGCATTACCTTGGATAATATTCCAATGTCGAATTTCACAGATATCCCCTTAAACAAAACAGTTTTTCATATAAGGATCCGATTTTGAACATAACGTTTGTGTGGCAGGCTTATGCTGTAATGATTCGATATCAGCCGTTCAGACAAATGAGCAGTTTTGTAGTGAGAAGTGGATGTGTGCAAAATTTCAGCTCGATATCTGACTAGTTTCCAAAGACAAAAAGACATGGCGGAGTGAGCTCGTCATGCTCATCATTTATTTGAGTAAACTAAAGCGTTTTCGAAGTTGCTTTCTGCTTTCTGGGTGGGGAAACTACTAATTTCACATGTGTAAAGAAGCGACTTTTAACGCATTTGCTTTGATTTTCACTACTTTTATAGTTTGAATTATGAAAATAAAAAGAATATTTACTAATTTTGAAGTATTGATATGAAGTGTTTATTATAAACAACATTTTGACATTTTCTTGCTTATGGCGTTATTTTGCGCTTTGTGAGAGTGTCTTGTCAATTCCCGCATACTTCTACTTTCTGATAGCTAGTTCTGGAACAAACTTTTTTTTAACCCACATGTATTATTTCCGGCACTTTATAATTCACCGTTATGTTGATAAAAAAAAATAAATATATAGTTTTTGCGATGACTGATGAGCTGCTCTTACAATAAAAAATAAAATGCAGGTTTAGTTTCAAGCTATGATTTATGCCCTATGCCCTATGCCCTATTTTCAATCTCTGAAAGTGTGTTATTTTCAGTGATTATTTAAATTTGAATTTCTTGTCATTATTACTACTACTCACTTTGCACTGCTCGATTTGTTTATATTCAGATTATCTACAAGTGACATTAGCGAGCTATCCAAATCGCCAGTGAGTATTTTGCCACTATTAGTTGGCTGTGTTTGTTGTTGTTGTTGAAACAGTTGTTGTTGCTGTTGTTGTTGGGTGAGTAGTTGCTGCTGCTGACTACCAGCCATACCCAGAGCACCTGCAGTGACAATAGTTGTTTGATTGGAAGCGGCTGGATGCGTGGCAGTGATGCCAGGTTTTAGTACATCACCCAAAGCATCAAAGCCTTCAGATTATTTTTTTCAATATATTTGTTTTTTTTTTTTTTGTTTTTGGGTTTAGTAGTCAATTGTAATTACAATTTACACACAAATGTTTCATTAACCAGCGGTGTTTGTATTAGAGTACATTAGGGTGTGCATAATTCACCATATTCCATATTGTTGATGGTGGGTTTTATTTTACAGATTTTTGTTGCAGAAACGGTTACACAATTAATGAGCCCATAATGTGTGTATTTTTTTTTTTTTATAATGTGTACATGGATTTTGTATGTAGTGGAACCCCGAAACACAGACAAAAATGAGTTTTGGCATGATGTTGGGACGCATTTTATTTTATTTTTGACATATAAAGCATTTTGTACAGTTAGTTGACATTTTTCACCACACCAAAATGTTCAATTGTTGAATTTTTTTTTTTGCGCGATTTTTGTTTTTGATTAGATTCGTTGACATTTTTCATACGTTTCATAATATTGTGTTGTTGTTGTTTTAATTTTGGGAATTAATTTATATTATTTTCAATATTGTTATAAGTGCCACCATTTTTCCGTTTGATATGTTTAAAATGTTTTTTTTTTTTTTGCCATAATTATGATACAAAATATGTTTTGTGAATTTACATAAAAAAGACAAACAAAAAGAAGAGAAAGAGAAAAAATACATTTACAAAATAAATAAATATGACGATTTTTGTGTTAAATATACTATATATTTTTTTAAGAAAAATATTTTGGAAAGTTTTTTTTTTTTTTTTTTGGATTTAAGTGAGATAAGCACAAAAGAACTAGGTGAGCTTCAGTTACGAATAAAGAAAACATTTACAGAAATCAATGACCCTTATTATATTTGATGTTTGAAATGTTCATATGTATGTATGTGTAAGGCATTCTTGAGGGTATGTGTGCGGTTGTGTAGTAGGAGTTGTATATTATAATTTTTCTGTTTTGTAACCAGGAATTAGGTGTATTGAAAGCGGGTTTGGGTTTAGATTAGTTAGTACTTGTGAGTCATCAATTAGAAGACGAATAACAACAAACATGCAAGTCTACACCCAACACCAAGCAGATTTCAATTAGTATTAGTATTTGGCTARATAGCTATTTTAAATACATTACATTTAGTAGAAATATTGTAAAATAAGAATTTTTAAGCAACGTGACTATAAGTTAGGAAAAAAGAATACGTCAAAAAATAAAGACAAAAAAATTTTTCTGAAAACAACGATCTTTCGAAAGAAAGATTACCAAAAAAAGTATTAATAATTGTCTACTCTAAACTATCGTACATACACTCATGTTTATGATAAAAAAAAACATACTTTCTAAGATAAATAAAAGTAGTCTGCGATTTTTTCATAAGACATTTTTATACAAAATAATAATTTTAATAAATGCAAGAATAAAACTAATACTTTTACAAATACCTCTAGTCTTAATTGTTCAATTATTTGTATTAATAAATAAAGTAAAGAAGTAAAAATATATTTTTCTACTTTTAAAGAGGCGTATCATAATAAGGATTGCGCACGATATCAAATTTCAAAGATAGTTTTTTTTAATATAATTTAAATATAAACCAATGCTCCTGTYTAATTTCAATGGAATTCGATACGTGTTGCTTACAAAATGTGTAGTCCACTAGAAGTTTATTCGATTTTATAACAAAAATCCAAATTGGACAATAAAAACAATTGCCAGAAAAACCAATGTTTCCAAGACTACCGTGCAGAATATGATTAAAACGTTCAGCAAAGGTCTGACTTKCAGCAGGAAGCAAGAAAGTGGTAGAACGAAAGGTTTTAAGAACCCTAACGTAGCTAATATCGAAGAGAAASTACAGCGTTCTGAAACATTTGTCAGAAAATTTAAAAAGGAGGAAGGGCTTAAGTCTAACAAAGTYCAGACAGGAGATAAAAAGAAAGGAATGGCAAAAGATCAAAACAAATAACTTCACCTTGATTTCCTTAAAGTTTTTGACTGCTAAGAATATGTTCTTGGGGACTTTTCTTCGCTTCCAGGTGTGGATTTTTTTTTTTTTTTGAGATGTTGACGTGTGAAGAGAAGTTTAAAACACAACTGGTACTATCAACACTGATTTATACATCCAGGGGTGCTGCAAAAACGGTTTTTTTGCCAATCATACGACGGAGAGTCTACATTTTCTTGACCTAACTTGGATTCATGCCGTCATAGCAAATCGGCAATTGAGTGGTGCTTGATTTAGAAGAAGCTTTTGTGCCAAGATATGCAAATCCACCTAACTGYTCAGAGTTCAGACCCGTCCACAGATACTGGGGGCTAGTAAAAAGGGTTATGAAGATCAAAAAAAAAGTTGCTGACACCACTAACAATTTTTCGAAAAAATGCTTTTCATCAAGCAACAARTTACAAAAGATAATATTAAGTGGCTAATGGGAGGTATGTTGGAAAAAATTCGATTATTTATAAAAAATAGTTAATCTGCAAAATGTTTTTAATAAATGAAATTTATTTATATTAAAAAACTGGTTTTTTTTATCTCGAATGATTACAAAAATTAAAAGACTAGTTCTCGCATATATAAGGACACAAAAACAAGCGGACATCAGCTCGTCTAGCTGATCATTTATATAAAGGCTTTAAACTCCAACATTTCTTTTTAGTTGGTATAGACATCCTGGCAAACTTAATATATCCAGTTAAGGGTATAAAAATATATTCGATAAAAATTCACAGTAGAAACCTTAAATTGACTTAATCTGCTATATTGAAAGTGGAACCGTTTCCACAATAAATATTTTGTTATTCCGCTACCGTGAATTGAAGAGCGATGGATATATATTTTTCGAAAAATTAACATTTTAGTTTGGATTTACTTTTTTTGGTTAACCTAATATCTATAAGTAACTTGGAAATAATTTTTTCGAATTTCCAATTCGCCATTTTAAAACGAAGCACCTATTTACAACAATATTAAACAAACACATTAAACAAACACAGTATTACATTATATTTAGTATCCAATGAAATGTAGACATTTAGTAGCTAAACCTTAAAAGCAAATTCAAAAGAACACATAAAATGATAAACCAAATAAAACTATAAAATAATCATTAATACTTTTAACTACTCATAATAAACAACTTCAAAAAAAAATKTTTWAATAGTAAAAGKAAGTAAGAAATTGAATCAARCCTAAACTYAAAAATATTTATAAAATTAATTAATAACAAAGCCATAAATATAATGTTGTATAAACGAAAACAAAACACGAAAGCAAGATGGCAGCACACAAAATACCAGAAAGCGCGGAATCACTCAAGTGGAGCTGAAAGAGACCGCAGAGCAAAATCAATGTCGAAAACTGACACGCAGCCTTGGGCTGAAGGACGTTGCAAAGCTGASTGGCTGGCAGTGCAATTTGATAGAGACATTGATTGGCGGGSGTAGAAACAGAAAACGWACACGAACGGAAGCACGACAAAATATACACACATTTKTGAGCACGGCAGTGGGTGGCAAAGCGAGGCACAGCGAGAAGATTACAAGGAAGCACTGCAGGGGAGTGTCGTGGACTTGTGCTCTTGGCCAGATGCCGCCAAAGCAACTGTGACGTGTGTGGTAACTAGGTTTAATGACAGCAGAGTAAGTGATTAGACAAAACTGGTTGAGCTTCTGCGTTTCTTTGTTTAAACTGAAAGCGAAAAACAACAACCCAAAGCAAAGCGTGCATAAATCTTGTATTTTTTTTTTTTTTTTTTTTTTTTTTGTTTTTGCATTCACTTTAGGTATTGTGCTGTTTTGCTTGTTGTTATTCATGGTATAACTTGGGTGCAACAATGCAATATAATATAATATGGCAGCAACGAAAAGGCAACACAGTAAGCTTTAAGTGTAAATAACACGACGGACACACATACATACACTATACATACATACAAWACGAGTACGTATGAGAGTGAGCAAGTGTGTGAGCATGAATGTATAAGGGCTCGACAGCAGCTGCTCTTATTCAGCTAACTGTTTATTTTGTACGCATAGTAAATTGAGGTATTAAGTATGCATGTATATTTTCTCTTCACCTGGTGGGAATTGTTGTGGCGCCGGCGCCACCATAGTTGCTGTGTTCATAAAGAGCGTTTGCGCGGCTTGTGCCCCCTGTGGCATATTAGCGACGGCGGCAGTGGCGGCGCTGTGTGTTGAAAACTCTGCTTGCTGGTGCTGTTGTTGCTGTGCGCCAAAGAACGGCGCTTCCACGGTGTCGAAGAATGGATTTGGCAAGGCCGCCGCGGCGGAGGATGCAGCAGCCGCTGTGGGACACCAGCAATTTAGATTCACATTCCGTTAGTGGTTTTGGAAAATTTTAGCAATGTTGTTGTTGTTGTTAGTTAACAGCGGCCGTTTGCATACGATTTTGCGCGTTTTTTTAGTTARTGAATAAATTGAAAATAAAAGCACACGATTTCAATTAACAAATTAATTAATTACGCATAAATTAATTATGTGAAAAATAATAACAAATTYCCTGAGATGCATTTCCGCATCAAACCTAACCTAAAGATAATATTTATAAGAAAAATAAGAACACATTTCTTGTGATGAATTTCAGCATCAAACCTAACCTAAAACTAACACACGAACCCTTAATGACATTTATATGCTGTACGCATGTACCTATTAATATCTTWACTAAAATACTAGCTTTCGAGTAGTTCGAAATCTCTTTTTGAATTAAACTTTATAAATTGTATGTGAAGAACGTTAAGAGGATTCTATTCTGAGCTCAGTAGCCATAAACAATAAACATATGGCTCTAGTAGCCCAGGGTAGTAAACTGCTAGTGGTTTTACATAATAGAAACAATAAACATTTAAAAACTTTYATGTATTTCTGATTTTTATGCGTAAATATATAACTATTTTCTACAATATATATGTTTAATAATGATTATTTGTATATAAAACCTTTAAATTTTTGTGCAATGTATATACAAAATGGTTACAAAAAATTATTACGTTTCCAATTGCTTAAGATAWAATATGAATTTAAAACAAAAACTAAAATTCTAGAACTCACAATATTTATGTTAAAACATAAAGAGTACAGCAAAAAAGTGACCCTAAGCAATTAGTTGCATGCACGCCATCTTTACTAATTCCGGTTAGTGCAAATGTTRTTAGTAATCCTTTAAATACTAGTAAATATGTATGAGTAATTACAAAACTTTTAACGGTAATATGTATACACCACCAAAATAGTAAAAATATATAATAACACATTGAAATTGCTAAAAAAAAATTACAGTTTTTAAGAAACATATTATTTTTAAAATATATTTTTGTTAAGCAAAATATAAAATCACTTTATATTAAAGGAAAAAAATAGATAATTTGTTTAACAACAGCTTTGGATAGTAATTGTAAAGGAAATATTTGGGAGTTAAAGCGCCAAAGCTAAATTTGTGGAAGGATAAGGAATTGGAAATTAAATATAGGAAACACAGACACTCAAGGACATTTATACGCGTTGAAGTAGGATGGCATAGACATTTCTTATCAAAGCAGGAGACAAATTTCACTTACCGGCTGGTTCAGTGTTACCGAAAACGGATGAAAAGTTGCTATCCGAGACGAAGGCGTTAGCAGCCGCCGAAGGCGCGCCATTGAAACCTAAATGGAAAACAAATTTTGTTAATTTATGCTCCAGTTAAGTGTTAGGCTTTATTTTAAATGCAACCAAATGCTGGTTTTTGTTTTTTATTTTTTTTGTCTACTACTCAAGTGCAGCGTGTTTTGAGAAGAAACTTTGGAATAACAATAAAAAAAACGCACATTAACTAGCTTGTACTAGAAATAAAAAATGGAAATAAAATAAAATCAAATAAAAAACATGCTACCATTATTATGCATCCAAATATTATTGGCATTCTGTGCACCACCTGTTGCTGCTGACACACCGCCACCAGCGCCTGCACCACCGACTGGTGCATCGAACATATCAGCAAAYGGATTTCCCAATTGTAGCAAATCATCGGAGGCTTTTGTGCCGCCCGCAGCACCGCCTGCACCGGCGCCACCAGTCGAGCCAGCAGCCGTTGCCGGAGCTGCACCAAACAGATCGACTATCGGTGCGCCAGCGCCACTGGCTGGCGGCGACGATAAGAATGGATTTGTTAGTGCAGCACCAGCACCGCCTGCAGTTGGTGARGAGACCTTCGACTGCTGTAAAATGGATTAGGAAAACTTCATTAAATACGATAGCATTAAAATTTTACTGTACATTAAATTGAAGTGGAGAAACTGCTTATTTTTTTTAATTAAATATGACTTACTATAACCTACAAGAATTATAATTGAAATTCTACATATATAATAAATATTGTAATCAGCTGATAAAATTAAGCACAGACCACTCAAATTTAATTTCATTTCAATTTTTTCGAAGACAAAATTAAACAACAAATTTAAAWTAAATTTTGAAAATCATGAATGAAATGAATGGTAACGCCCCATCAATGTAAATATGCKCGAAACAGCTGAGCTCCAAATCAATTTGTGTGCGACAAACGTGTGGAGAAATAACGTACCGATTTCAAATTGAATTTAGAGAAGTAATAACAAAAATTTGTATTCAAACTTAGGCCAATTTTTATTTGCGTCATTAAAATTAATCAATTATTTAGCATAAATAAAATTCGAGTTTGTAACACAAAGTATTAACTCGCTTTACATATAGACCACTTACTTTGTATTGATTCATTGCAGCCTCCTCTTCGGCCAATACCTGGGCTTTCAATTGCTCATCGATGCCATTGGTCGTGTCGAATTTGCTTGATGCGGCGGCTGTGCCGAAGGATGAGCTGGTGGAAGATAAGGCAGTGACAGCGGATTTAACATTCTTCTGATTGCTAAAAATGTGCTCAAACCGATATGACAAGTGGTTTTATTAAATTGTTTTGTTTTACGACGCATCAACATTTTATAAATACTCAGCACATGTGGGCAATAAAAGTTTATCAACCAGCATCGTAGACAACAAAGTATTCAAATGAAAACAATTACCAAACGAGCAATAAGKAGCAACCAAATTATTGTGTACGATAACAGCAACGGTAGCGAAAATTATGACGGCCACAAGAACGACCAAGATGTATAATATATGGAATCAAATAAGAAAAAAAAAACAAACATAGAATACTAAAATAACAATAAAATAAATCAAACTAAGATAACAAATTACTGAAAATAAATGATTGAAAATAACAACTTATTAATAAAATAACAAATTTTTAATAATTAAATTATTGAGTTTTACTAAAACTATAATAATAATTAAAAAAATATCAAAAAATATTATTGAGTATTACTAAAGCTATAAAATAATAAGAAAAAATATCTCCAATATTGATATAAAAGTTTTTTCTTTATTAAAACTTAATATACTACTTGCTCAAGCTTGCACTGGAGTACTGTCTAGGAATCATTTAATAAATTTATAATGATTATGTAAATAAAAACAAAATAGCCACATTTCGCATGACAATATACCTTAGTTTTTTATTTTATATAAACCTCGTTCACGCAAAATCGGTAGGCACTTTTGTTAAAATTTCAATGACTAAAAGCCCTTTTGTTAAAAGTAACAAAACGCAAGCATATTTATTCACCCTTCAGATAATGTTAAATATTAAAATACATATCGCTATATCGAATAAATTTGCAAGTTCTTTTATTAATCACACCCATAAGCTGCCCATTAATTCGTGGGCAGATTTATTCTACTTTGCCAACATTGAACCATTATTTTTTGCGATACTAGATGATTTTCTTAATTTTTATTATACAGTTGGGCGAAGTTGTGGGCARTTGGGTGGGTTCATGTCCTTTGAAACGAAATCGATGCCATTATCTTTGTACCACTGAATTGCAGTTTTCGAATAAAGACATGTGACTAAATTTGGCCAAAGTTTTACTGGAACGAATGGCAATCTTTGCTAGCAAGTCGAGTCTTGCAACCAAATGTTTTGCCACTTTTTTTGCTCCCTCATAACTTAATGTTGTTCGAGTGGTTTTATTACATTAAGTGGATTCTGTTGGTCTTGCAAGACTGCAGACGGCAAAAATCCTATACCGAAATATACAAGGGCACGGGAGCTCCCATTGCAGAATCTAGTGCTATATGAACGGCTGATTCGGTCAATTTATTGTAAATGACTATTGTGCATGGCTATTGTGTGAATCAGCGCACCTTCAGCATTCATTCCTAACAAAAACAAAAATGTAACAAATKTTTATAATTTAAATAGAAATAATAAAATCTATTTAAAATTTACATTCCTCAATAATTTAACGTCAAAATATCTATTCCACTCAATTGACAGCTAAAACAGGGTTGCAATTATCTTTTTACGTGACATTGCACGCAAATAAAAGTGGGTTTGGTTTTATTTTGCAGTCCTTACAAATATTTTTCTGCGTGTGTTTGTTGTTGTGCCGTTGCATTAGGCATTAGGTGGAAAAATCTGCAATTCTTGCACCGTGCAAGGGTTTTGCARKAGCATGAGAATAMCCCTATTGTATACTGTTGTTTTTGGTAATTTCAGAACTTTTGCAATCTTCGAACAGGGCCAAGATGGATTTTCAATCATTTTGTGCACAATTAGTTTTCGATTTACATCATCACGTATAAAAACTCACAAAATCACAGCACAGAAATGCAATTTTAAGAGATAACGGTACCATAATTGTCAAAATAATATGTGAAAATGGGTTCCATTYGATGATTAGTTATGCGTCAATAGCCGCGAGGTGGCGTACCGAGATTTGGTTTCAACCAAGCTTTATGCTATGGTAACACTATATAATAAAGCCAAAAGAGCAAAGATTTATAAGTTCGAAGGGATTACTGTCATAACTTTGATTTAAGGCAACATATTTCAGCATATAAACCATTTTGAGAGTCTGGYAACCCATTGAAATGTTAAACGACGGTTTAACTCGGTCGAAATACTAAAAAATGTTTAACTTTTTCTTAAAAAAAATATCGAAATACTAAAAAATTTTTAACTTTTTCTTAAAAAAAAATTAAATTTAAAGCAAAAAATTATCAGCTATTTTTTTCTATAATTACTACTTTTAGATTATAGTCGTTGCTTCTGCATTAAAACGTATTTTAGAGCTGCACTTAACTCCCTTAAACCTAAAGCGAAATATTAACTTAATTACTTTTATTAGACAGATAGGAGCTAATTGAACATCAAGGTGCCTAAATTTTTTGAACCTAAACATTTAAATTTTTAAAATGTTTTTAAAATAAATTCAAATCACAAATTTTTAAGATATTGTACCAATACTGTTACTCAACGGTTTGTAACCCATAAAAAAATAGTTCGGTCTCAAATTAAAAAATTGTTTAACTTGAATGCATCACTATAGGAATATGCTTATACACATCTAGATGTGTATAAGAGACAGCTATAGGAATATGCGATTCATATAGACGAGAAGAGTGCGTTGACAAACTCAAAAGAACTTATGGCCTTTTGATAAAGTATCAAAACACACACTTTCACTGTTTTGTATAGAATTTAAATGAAGAACATTGTTGCTTGCTCAAATCAATATTTGAAAAGAGCAGACGCTTTTACAATGTTCCAAAMTAGAATTTTGTTTAAAAACAATTTATAAGAATTTTAAAAAATACCTTGCTGATTGAGTTGGTGTATTAGCGGCGGATACTTTGCGGCCCTCCAAAGTAGCCAAATGTTGTTCCAAAGCATCCARGAGAGAACTAGGAGCTTTAGTCAAATCAGGTATATCACCCTTGTCAATGCCAACATTCTGTTTTATGAGGGAAAATGAGTTAAATGAAAAATAAAGACATGTAAATRTGTGTGTGTTTTCAAAAGATACCATTTTCAATTTCGCTTACCTCAGCAACTTTGAGAAATTCACCAACACGATCCATGCGCACCAAAAACTTTTTGTACAAATCCAAAGCATCGCGTGCATGCTTCTTATTCATATCGAAATATTTCTCGAGCAAATTAATGATGCCATCATTGTAGCACGCAAACAAACGTATCAAGTCGCGGAAGAGCAGCATAAAGCTCATGTTGATGACACCTGGCGGCGCGTGTGCATGTGTGTGTTAAGCGCAAGTCGTTGGTTTCGAATGAAAATTGCACCAACGAAAGTGAATGGTGATGAAGCAAAAATAAAAACAAAAACAAAAACAAAAGGCGAGTTGTCGAATAAATTGATGACCAAAAAGGTACAAAATGTCAAAAACATACCGTTACTCAAGTCATTGGCCTGACAATCGAACTCCAATAACGCATCCAACTGCGCCTGCAGTACTGGCAATGTCTTGAGCAGTTTATCGGCATTCATGGTTCGCAGAGAACCCTCATCTTTGCTATGGATGGCAAAAAAAATTACATTGACAACAAATTAAAGCAAAATTTACAAATATATTTATTTAAAATATACTAATTAAAATTTGAATTTATTATAGGCAAATCCAACAATCATATCGTGAATGTCCGCTGTACTTTTATTTATTTATTTATTTATTTTGTGCGGCATGACTGTGCAGTCTGTGGCGCACTTGAGCAATCATGCCAACGCACAACCATACAAACAGGCATAGTTGTTTGTTGTTTGTGCTTGAGTAGAAAAATKCTATAAGTGCTTTGATAATTCATATCAAACTTACCCGCGCTTCACTTTGCAAAAATCAAAAGCCATTGCACGATATGAGAGTGACTTCTCGTTCAAGTATTTGGCATAGCGTCGTATGAACGGAGACATGTCATAGCCTGTGGAGGGATGTACAGGAAAAAATTAATGCATTTGCATGCAGTGTTTAAAATACAAATTTGTTTAAACCAAGAGGCTACAGAAGATGAGGCTATTCAAGAATTTGCATACCAAAGAAGTATGAAATTTGAAATTATTATTCATTAATTATTAATTAATRCTTAATGTATCAGTAATTTTAGCTAACCAAAAGTTTTACTTCTAAAAATTAACTGAAATRCTTCAAACACAATTCTAGTAATTTCAAAATTAACTACAAATTTACATTTTAATATAAGATATACTTTTAGGCGCCAAACATTGCGTACGCTATTCAATTGCAATTTAACGCATACTTGATCGTATTACATATCGTCACTTAAAATGCAAAATAACGYAACAGCAAAAAATCTAAATTTARTTTTTTATTGCTAACGTTACACTACAGCATAAAATTTTCAGCTTCCGCTGTTAAATATGGCCAATATGTAACCAAAACTCAAATTTCATTTCAATATGAGTTGTT